ACGTTTACCGAATCACGGGTTTAATGCCTGATATAATAATAATAATAATATGTATATTTCACGGAGCCCCGTGAGGCATACATAGCATGATCAAATGTACAAGATAATCCACCGTACAGGATTGGTCCAAAACGGAGAGAAAAAAGAAATTAAAGGTCGATATGAACATAATTACAAATGAAACACAGAGTGGACAAGGTATCATATAAGAAAAGGTTGAGGATGGCGGAATGCTCTAAAAGAGCAAGTTGGTGGAAATAAGACGAAAAACANAATGGTGGGATGATTGGAAACGCGACAAGCAGTAAGTAAAATGACAAGAAGTGGCATGCAGATCGTTGGACGGAAACCGGCACAAGGGCGGATAGAATGAAGCAGAACAGAGTCAAACTGTCATAGAATATATATGCACTTCACGTTGTGAAACAGATGAGTTCTGCAGGGACTTGTTCGATGATCTCAGGGGCTCCGATCAGCAGTGGATTGATTTGGGTTATTTACGTTATTTGGGCGTTGGTCGCTTTGATGTGGGATTGACTAGACGCTAGGCACCTAACCTTAAAACACCATGTAGGTGAGGCAGGGGGTGCGTTCCTCTACCTGGTCCGGAATGCAAACGCATGTAGTCAAAGCGGTGGATACTGCCGCGCTCAACAACCATTGCCCGTGGCAAATTGTCCATTGCGGGTGTAGACCCCAAGCCTTCGTCAGGCCCAAGCCAACCGGATCTGGAACAGAAAGGCGTATATCGGTAGTCTGGGTTGCAGCCCAGCTGAGAAGGGATAACGGAAGTAAATCACAGGAAGCAAACGACAAATTTAAATCAAGCAGAGTGCCTAGGTCGAAATAATGGTGAAAGGATGTTGTCAGAATGTATAGTTCAACAGAACCAAATTGGAGGTGGATACTCGTAATGGTAAAACATCAGATGGCAGAGTACACACAGTTACCTGGTCATCATGTGCCACGGAGTTGAGCCAATTGAGTCGGATGGAAATGGAATCGGATATATATAAAGTAAGGCGAGATGGGTCACAATACTTATCCCAGTGGATTTCCAGACATTGATCGCCCGATTCCCCATGTTGACTAAACCTATTGATACTATTGACTGATCGTGTTGCAAAGCTCCGCTTTTTCGCACCAGTCATAGATACAAATAGCTCAATTTTCCTATCCAAATCATATCATCTGGCATCAATTCAATGTACACGTTATGTTGTATCCCAAAACGTACCATCCCAATTCCCGTCCAATTTTTCCAGATCAAATCCAAGAACCTACATTCCTTGTCCCCGTATCCCATCCAGATATGTAGAACCCACATCAACTTCACATTCTCAAGTGATTACATATCCCACCTCGAATGGTTCTCCAAGCGTCGAACATA